ACGACTAGAAAGAAATATACATACTTTAAAGTAAAAAAAAAAATTTAAAAATACACATATGCCTAAAAAGGCATTTACATCATAAAAAGACCAAAAAAGGGAAAATAAAAATTCAACACACTATTTAATTTTCGATCATTCATATACATATTTTATTTGCCTTTAAATATTTTCATTAGAATGAAATAGGCATTTTCCTAAACATTCCATGTCTACTTATATAACATTACGATAACGATTTTCTCGAGTTCTAATATCTATGTCAATTTTTCCTAATTTTTTTTATCAGTCCCATCACCGGGTCTTGCGGGGTCCCGGACGATCGCCTCGTCTGCCCGTGCCTAGCGCAGGCACTGGCAGCAACTAGTGACCGATGTGGTATGTGCGGTGGTCGAGCATCTACCTAATCGAGTCGTTAGTGCGGCTATGTAGTAATGCTTCTGGAACGTTGTGAACTTATAATGTTACGTTCTGAGTTCCCAACTGCTGCAAAGGAACATGAAATAAGTATTCTCATTTCAAAACCCCTAATAAATATGAGCATCCCAATTTAGGTGTGTCGGTATATGTTCAAACACTTAGTTCATACTTTGTCCATTCATGTATATATTTCACTTTTTTCACCCGCGCTTGTATTCTCACAAAAAATAGTTGCTATGACTATACCCCAACCCTCTTATAAACGAACTACGCCTTTAATCACAGCTATTTCTGCTTACCTGCGTGAGGAGCTCGTTCAAATCATATTCTTCGTACATCGATTTTGTAGGATAAGTCGCAACTTATTACTACTCCATCACTTCTCTTTATGATTGAACTTTCAATCACTTGCTATCTGTTTGTTTACCAGCACAAAAAGTTCACGTAATTTCTATTTATATTAGTAAATATCCTGAATAGTTAATTTGCTCCTACGTCAACAGGGAGGTTTTACAAAATTTCCGCGCTACTCGTCACTTTGCAAATGGAACGGCGGACCTCGCGATAAACACTGTGGAAGCAGAATGAGTGGTCCATACGAGGGACTCTGAAAGCAGTTAGGGAAAATATTGTCAGTGATATCAGTCGAGAAAATATATTTTTTACTCGACTCTACATAAAACTTGGTTCGATTAAACAGTTCGTTAAAGCATTAAACGCAGATGGAGAATTGTTTTCAGAATATAGTCAGGGCATTGCCACTTGAGAAGATCAAATCAGGTGTATTCGATGGACCCCAAATTCGTGTACGTGTTCGTGATAAAGAATTCGCGAGAAAAATGACAAGAAGGAAATAGTCATTGAAGGGAGGCATGATAATCATTTGTAGCATACATGGAGAACCTTCTGAGGAAAGAAAAGGCTACTATCTCCGACGGTTTTTTGTACAATTTGTGGACAGCATTTCATAAACCGGGAAGGAACATGAGTGTCAAACTTCATTTCCTGTTTAGTCATCTTGATAGTTTTGATGAGAATTTAGGAGAAGTAAGAGGCGAGCAACGTAAGCGGTTCCATCACGACCTGAAGACCACGGGAGACCGCTGAAAGATGGGGCAAGCACATGCGGCTGCTGAAGCATTCAACGAGATTGCCTCAAAGAGCGTACAACCGAAAAGCTTGAAACGAATCTTTCTGCAATAACAGAATTAACTTAACCCTTGCTTCATTATAATAATATGTCACAAGACTTTTTTTATACCCTTGGCAATTTTTTATGATGTTTATTTATTTTTTGTACTAACAAATAAATTGAGAGTATGTATTTAATTAATTTTAAATATGCTTATCATTTAAAGTTAATCATAATTTTTACCACAAAAACTATGAGAACAAAGAAAAGAAAATTAAATATTGAAAGTTTTTCATACGTCGATTCCAAAAAATCTAAAAGCTATCTGAAAAAACACATTTCTAGTCTGAAATCAGCCCACTAAGGTCTGTTAATTCCAATTGTTGATAGTAATGCAACGAAAAATTTTCGGAGCAGTGTAATAGATAAGAATGGATATTTAATAAACGTTAGCGAATAAATAAATTTCACCTGACTGCCATAATTTGCATCAAAGAGAGCCAAATTAACGTTTGGCGACGTAGTATAATACCGTTTAAATATTCTGCTTAACGAGAACCCGTTTTCGTGCCTCCGTTGCCGTGCTATGCGAGTCTGTGACAGTATTACTCATATCTTTCTTCACAATTTACTGCAAATTTATGTGGATGATCGAGAGTCCGGGTTTCCTTATTGATAGTACAATCTTGTAACGCAACTCACATGTTAAAATCTCGTGTTAAACACACCTGTCTTTCGTTCTTTTTTGCCATCGCTATCTCTGTCCGACGGTTTGCCTAATTTCGTGCCAAAATTATCCCGGATTTGCGCCATAATTGCGACGCGTCGTCATCTCATCGGCCTATCCATCTGAGTCACGTCCTCATAATGGGGTCGTTTCGCCCAAATTGCTCCCGGGCGCCGTCCCGCCCCGCCCCGCCCCGCGCCGCCCGTC